CTGTTGTTTAGACGATAGTTTTCAGAAAATGCTTTTATAGTCGTTCCGATTATTCGCTAGAAACTTCTTCGCGTTAGATAGAATCATCAGAATGCGCATTGTGTATTAAACGTTATAGAAGGCTGATAAACAACTCGGTGGAGGAAGACGAGTTGACGATGACTCGTTCCTGGATGTCAACAAAGGTCTTGAGTCGTCATCTAGGCGCCGAAGTTGTCTCTGTCACTTCCTCAATGTCCACCAACGGCCAGCTGTCAATAAAATAAGTAATCCACAGAAGACCTTAATATCCTCATAAATTACCAATATTTCAGGAACTAAATATAGTCTATTCGCATCCTAACAAAACTCTCTGGGTATCGTGAGACAGTAGAGACAGCGTATAACTTAATTAATTTCTGTGTTTTTGTAACAACGCTTCTCACACTGCAAATGTTATTTAGTGTCTGATGAAATTACAAGACGTCTACAGACGCAGAATGGGAAAATTGTCATTAGTAGGGACGTAGGTGTATATAGGTAACATATCAGAATTTGCATGGAGTGACTGATGAAACAAATAAAAAATCTAATTAGGGTAACCGGCACTCCAGTCGAGATTCAAACCAGTTACCTCCTGAGTAAAATCAAACTTGGCTGAAACTTGGCAAACAAGGAGAAGATAATAAATGTGGAATTTTTATAAACACGTCACAGAAGAAACGAAAGGGGTTGAAATGCAACGACAGAGCACGAGTTAAGAGGGTATAATTCTTAGAAGCCGTTAAAAGTAAAGCAATTTCTATAATTTGGTCATTTATAATAATCGATATAGTCTTAAATAGAATACACAGAAGAACTCTGGAGTTAAAATAAAGATGAAGGTCAAGATTACTCAAGTGACTGACAGTAAGAAAAGTATAGGAAATATGATCTTGTGAAGTGATAACGAAGGGAACCTCTTTGATGAAGAGTCACATTAAGATTACGGCGAAATGAACAGTAATATCTTGATAGGTTGAAGACACTATGCAAGATGGACTCATAGCCGATCTTAAGAGAGCTCCAAGCAGAACGGGTAATGTGGTTTAAATGTCTGCCCTCTTAAAAGTGGTAATAGTAGTAGCAGTGTCCAGTCAAAGGCGACGCTGTGTGTCACTGCCTTGTTTTCTGGCTACTACAAGCGACTGAAGTCATGTTGTTCGGTGATGGTAGGAGCTGCTAGTTTCTTGTTTAATGACGATGTTCTGGACTACAAAGGTTATGTAATGTGTAGTGGGCTGGGGATGAAAACGTAATTCAAAGTGGAAAGGAAAAGGAAGGAAACGATCGTTACTGAATTTGATGCACTGTTCAAGAATTTTTCTGGAAGTACCGAGGAAAACCATGGGATCCGCAGTGTTGATAAACGGTGTGCCACACGAGATATGAATAAATTAAAGATTTTCGGTATGACATTGATGATGGAATTGGTCTTATATTTGTGGAAAATATTAATTTCGACATTTATATTATGATCTCTGTTCACTTCAACGATATTTTAATTAATAGAGAGTTTCACACGAATTTACAACAACAGGGAAATCTATTACTATTATTATCTATTAATATTTTCGTTTTAAAATAGGATAAGGGAAGACAAAATATTTCGAACCGAATGATGGTAAACATTCTTGAATTAATGTGCTCACGTGAATGTAATTTTGATTTATTACTGTTGTCCCCAGATACGAGCACTTTGCCTCATTTTCGAAGGATTTGACATCTACTTTAACTCGTGTTACGACTTTTCTATGCGTTCTGATGGCTGTACAAACGTAAAGGATCTGCCTAATTTTGTCTGCTTTTATTTTTGTCGTATCTCGTACTAGCATCTCGCACGGTTCGTCAGTTTCTCTCCGAATACGAATTACTATGAAAATTAGCTTCACTGTTAAGCATCCAACTAGATTATGAAGGCGTATCTGACAAGTGAAAATCTGACTTCATGGTAAGCGGGAGTAGCTATAGTAATAATCCACAAGAAATGAAAATAAAACAAATTAACGTTGGAATTCGCTTCTTAATACTGTTATATGACCACATTAATGTCGAGCAGTTAACGAACTGCAAAATTTAAACCAGGGACCTCCTGTAAGTGAGCAATATGCATTCAGTTGGAGGTTTCTCTATGTATGTGCTCTTCATAGTTTTAAATTTGAATTTAGAAGTTTAAAGGTGAGGCAAAGGTGTACATGTCAGAGAAATACATCCTTGGGCACACAGTAAAGTCCTTTATTAAACAGTATTATTAAAAGCCCATTAAAATTTTCCCATGAAACGTAGCTGTACACGCGTATCCACTGTTCGACTAATCGATAATCCTTCGCACTCGACCATGCTAGACGGCGCTGCCTCCTTGCCCCTAATAGCATGTCAACACGATCGTGGTTTTCCTTATTATTAAAAAAACAATTCCGTATCCATAGAGACCCACAGTTTGCTTTATTGGCAAGTAAAATAGTCAGCTAATGGGGCTGGAAATTTTGGTCTGTGCACGCACGCGCACACACACATATGCATTTATATATAACATTAACTAACTAATAAGTTTAAGAGCTTGTATATTTCTACCTGCCACAATAAGGCTAAAACATAAAACGTTATAATTCCAGCATTAACCTACACTACATTTGGTTGACATAGGTGTAGGAATACTGAAAAAGGTGCAGCAGACTTGGGAATTGAACGTTTGAAACATTTTCTGACCAGTGAAGAAAGCAATCAGCTGACAATGAAACCAGCTGAAGTTGTGCGAGATTGGTTTTACTATTAGACTATGAAACTCGACGAGAAAGCGCTTGATAATTGAATGGGATGCGTATTTTTAATGATTACGATGACTTAGTGCTATAGAGTAAACTATCTTAGGTAACATCTCTCAGGCAGTAAGTTTTGAGGTTTTCACAGCGGTGAGTATGAAGATTTCTGTCTTCTGGGTTGTTGCGCTGTGTAGTCTGGTCGATGTTTACCAACGATTCATCGCCCTGATAACGGAGGCAGTATGGTCTCAGAAAGGTTGGTTAGCATCGACCAGATTACACAGCGCAACAACCCAGAAGACAGAAATCTTCATTCCTTAGCCAGGTTTAGACTGAGCTTTCCTCAGACTATGTATTGATGTTAGGTGTCGTGTCTAATTGGGAAGTAAAAGTGTGGACACAGAAGAGACTTGAAGAAACTGAAATTTTAGGAACCTCTTTTCTCTTATAAAAGTATGCACCCCTGATTTACGACACGTGAAAAGCTGTTAAGCACAAAACGTTGAAAGTAATGACGATACTGGATGTTTGGAGTCGTATCCCAGTGTTGCAGCTGATGCGTTGCTGGAAATCGTTATGCTCGTAATTTCAGCGGTTTCGTCACTTGTCGTAAACCAACACTTATTGTGTCCCGACATTTGTCACCCACCAGTCGGTGCATCGTTGTACTTTCTTGTCAGGATACACATTGCTACATGCTTCACAAACAGCAGCAAACGATTTTAATGCGTCGTAAAATTCGAGAAAGAACATATGTTCCACTCAAATCGGCCATGTTCGTACCTGGACAGCTTTTGCGCAAATAATTTGAGCAGTGACCTTGATTCGAGCGTCACGGGGTCCATATTTCACTCAAGAATCGGCCATTAGTGAGACACAATATGTATTTTCTGTTATTTCACAAATCATTTTCATCATACAGGTTAACACAGTACGTCTTATAAAAACGTATTCGGGCGGCGCAAAACAAATTTTGGAGCCGCGGGTTGGGATTTTCTGCTGTAAGTAGCAATAAAAAGGCAGAACACGCTGTCTGAGGGTGGGGCGAACTGTGTTTCAGGACTCCACGTTCTGTAGTGAGGTCCGGTGACGCAATACGTCATTCCGTCATCCGCTTACGTGTCTCGGAACTAGGCGTATCCGACAGGTTCACAGCAACCCCTGAGAAATTGCGTTTAGACTACACCTTTCACTCTACTATCAGAGAAGTTGCCGAATAAGTAGGCGTTTCAAAATTAAGCAGCGAATCAACGGCTGCTTTACGTATTATAGCGAGTTTTGGTTTAACCTGACAGGTGCTTTATTGATGAAAGCGCCGTAAAAAAAATTGCGTTATCAAATATAGTCTCTTTTCCTCGTCCCTAATTCTTTGTACGCAACTGCGAAGTAGTCGATCGCTGTTTCCGACAAGAGCATTGTTAATGAAAACAAATGTTCCCTCTTACTCACACTGTGTTATATCACAACTGAGAAAAGAAAAAACGCGTTATAACAACTGGCTGTAATGTGGAAACTGATTCGCGGACCAATGGAAGAGTGGCTGAATTTTCGCGGGCCGTTAGCTTATATGTTTTACCTTGATCAACAAACAACGATGGTCTAGAATTTCAGTTATTGCTAAGGAGGAGTGCAGGTCTACCGTATCTATCTTCTGAGTGAAGAGAGTTAAAATGCTGATAACCACTTAGAAGACTAAGCGATGTCACATCCCAGAACACCACAGTCAACATAATAACAGCATCTTGCAGAATTTGTTCTTCTAGTCATTTCATATGACAAATTACAAAATGTATTTTGATACATAGTCAAAGTATTTATTAGATGATGTTTTATTACAACTTGTTTTACTTAAAGTATTGAAAATAAACAAGCACAGGTCTCTGAAAACATAGAACTGAATAAGAAACAAGTGTAATCTTCGGAAATGTCGACATTCTTATACCATAGCTTATAGCAGTCGACACAGTTAAACATAGTTTTTGTAATGGTTTAACATTTGTTGTAGAAACTATTTACTTTTACTCGCTGAATGTGTTCAAAGAAGTTATTTTATAAACACGATGTTTTTATTGTAAAACTTTGATATTGTTTTCTGCAGAAATTATTAATATACTTCTGATGTAAAACATATTTTGTTAGGTCGTAAATGCCACCATTTGCATATTTGTGGTTTTTATACCTCATACTTGTGATACTTAGTCATTTGTTTTCCTCTTTTAGGTGAGCCTGGACAAATCTCTCGTTGACCCGTCCGGACTATGAAGACAAGAGGAACACAGTAATCTCTCAACAAACGTTTCATGTACACCCAGTGAGTACGTCATTACTGACTTATGGACACAAGTTTCTTTCTCGCGTCATAATTTATAATTTATCAAGTTTTATGCGCGTTTGATGAGTGGGTCAGTAAGCTACCACCGTAAATTTTATGAAAACATGATATGTATCTAAATGATCTATCAAACAAGTTCTTTGCATTCGCGGCCAGTCCAGAAGTAACCTATGAATAAACGTTTCATGCATACTTGGTGACCAAGTCGGTAATCTATAAAAAAATTGTCTTGCTTCCTCAACTGGCTATCCTTCTTAGCTTGAAATTTGCCTACTGCAAAGAAATATTGACACCGGATGCTTGGTTCTATAGTCGACCCACACATTAATAAAAAATGCTTGGAAAGGAAGAAGGCTTATGTCACAAAAACTAAATTTCTTTAAAAAAAACTATAAAAAAGTTTATATTTTTTAGAAAGTTAATAAATTTAGTAACTCTGTTTCTCAAGTCATAATTCTTATTTTTTACATGTTCCATTTCTAAATTTGTTGTAAATGTAATTTGTTTAGAGGAAAGAAAAATTCACGGTTTTTAAGAGCAGCTTATGTTATTTATAAAATTACTGTAATTAAATATTTAAAGCGTATTTCTGACTAGTATATTGGTTTCATATTTTATTCGTCATGCTAAATTAGCAGTCCAGAAATGTTGGTGATCATGATCAATATATATTATCTGACGCTTTCACAGCGACCAAGTATAATGAGTTCATCTCGGGCTACCAGCCGTGTTAGGTGATTGAAAGATGAACCACCTCGGTACCCTGAGGACGAGGAAGATGATGGTTCTCGAAACGTCACCCCTCAACCACCTGACACGGCTGCTAGCCCGAGGACAATCCAACATATTTTTACTTGTCTTTTATGATACAGATAAAATGTGACATAATTTTTGTCAATTTATTCCAAACACACTCAGAACTGGGAGAAAAACAGAATCTCTTGCAAAGGTATGTGTGGGAGAAGCAGGTATTAAGATTTTTAGTTGACGTTAGTAGCTCATGATTTTGCCACCAGAATACAGCTGAAGTCATGAAAATGGCACGTCAGTGACCTGTGATCTTCGCGTAGAATTTGTAAAACATCGACGAAATCTGTCGAGCTACATTTAATTTGGGTATCTGCTGTTTTCATACAAGTTTATTTGTCTGCACTTAAATAAAGTTGTCATAAAACGCCATTTTTGAATGGTTCTGACACGTGGCGTCGTATTCCCTAGCTTTAAATATCGTGACCATGCAATTTTTAAGGATCGATAATTTTCTTCTGGTTGTTTTCTCTTTCATTTACGTTATCTTGAAAATGGAAGCCGTCTTATCCCAGGCTTCTCTCTAGTTACACATATTATAAGTACATCCTTTAGCATAAATTGCATAAAATGAACACATAATACGGAGGTAATATCTTTCGTCATTCGGCTTACAAACTTTACCTCCGAAATTACTTAGCAGGTTTAAACTAAATTTGGCATTATACATCTAAACTGAAAAAGTCGGGTAAATAAATTTGGGTTCGCATTGATTCAATATAAATTTAACTTTATCATTGTTTTCAATGACAGTACTGGATCTGTCAGACATAGATCCTATTATAATCTAGGCTTACAGCTTTTATTTAGAACATTGTTATGGGAGGTATTTAACGAAATATAAGGAAAGTAATTTCTTACTTCACACAGTGGATTAACTTTGCAACAGTGGATTTTTTCTACTTTGAATTAACATCAAAGTTAACTGTATTAGCAGAATCAATAATGACGTATTTCGAAGGCATGTGTACCCCATTTGAGTACATATTTGCTTTCCACACTTTAAAACTAGAAAACGCTAACTTGTCATTCTTGTCGCCGTTTAAACTTTGAAACGGATTAGCTTTGTAATTCGCGTCGTGACTTTACGACATTTGGCCATTTATAAGTAATCTGTGTTCTTAAATAACGGCTATCGAGTCTAGAATTACGAGTATCGTATCTCTACGCTACGGCCATTAAGCATGAACACGAAGAACGAAGCCACTGGGCCCTACTGTTGTGTAGGCGTCGCCAGAACAAATTAAAACTTTATTAAATGTAGTTATTCCGTTGAGTGAGAAAATTTTGTTTGCTTTCTGCAACTTCATATTCGTCCATTTTTATCTATTGTGAATTAGAATAACGATGAAGTGGGTCGAGTCCATTTGAGGGAGGGGCGGATGTCCGTTGCGTGGCTTCTACCAGAATTACTTATACTTGGTCCGCTTTATAACTGATGTGCTATTGACTGTCGTGAATCACATCTTATCCATGTCCTGATTGCTTCTATAGCAACGTGAACCTGTAGTACCCTTCTGCATTTAGCGTGTATTTTTTTCGATTTTTAGCCTGGCTACTGACTTACAGGCCTACATACTCGATGTCCTATTCCATGATTAACGTGAGTGTAAGTTTCTTTTGCATCTGTTGATCGTTATTATCACAAATACTACGTGTTTTAGGATAAAGATATAACGCGAAATCTTATGAAAATATGACTGCTCCAATACCTCGAAAGTAAGTAATTTCTGCATTTTTACATATTTTGAATGTATAGCTATATATTCGCAGGATTTTCAGAACACAAAGTTGAATCTTTGTGTTACACGAAAGCAGGCATTTTCTTCGTCTGATGAGTAGGTCTGTACGTTTGAATGAAGACTCTGTTCCAAACAATTAGTTAAAATTTTTACATTTTTAAAACACTCGATAAATGAGGTGCAATCTTAATGTAGCACCCTTCAGATGCACAGTTCAGTAGATAGGGTCTAGACAAATGTTAGAAAAGTTTGTGACAAATTCTCTTAATTTTTATGTGATTTAGAACTTGTCAAATGCAACCTTTGTGTATTGACTCAAACGTAGATTTCTTTAAACATTAAGAATATCACGTTAAACGTTTGTGTCTGTTCTCCCAATTTCTCAACAAAAGAATTCATTTTATTGTTTCTATGTTTGTGTTCTCAACTATTATTTAATCTCTTTCGCCTTTATTTCTTTCTTCTTTAATTCAGGTTATGGAAATCCTCTGTGCTCAGAAAGAAATTGTAGAGAAAATATCCCATTTTAAGGAAGGTTGCATTTCACTGTAGCTGAATATATTTCGGAAAATTAATTCTACTTTTAAAAAAAATTCTGCAGTAGTAGACGAGCATTCACTTCCTTTTATTTCCCGTAAATAATGGCTACCTTGTATTAGGTAGTTGGAAGCAGTCCAAGTTTGATTACTTAGCTGAAAGAATTTTCCTAATTAACGTAATTATAAAGTCATTGGTTATATTGAATACTTGTGAAGTTTCGATTTTAAAAAATCTCACTGTCTAGGAACGATCAATTGATCGACCTACAATTCTAATTGCGTTTTACTCTAATGGGATTGCTACTTGAGACGAAGACAAGGTGGTGTACTGTACGGCAGGGTTATATTGTGAAATGCCACTACAACAAAATCAATAATAACCAATAAAATTGTAGTTTTCTTCTTTCAACGTTTGAACGAAGACCGCATCAGACATCCCAGATGAGACCGACGTGTGGCAGGTGAAATCCAATTTTATAGCATAAGGGCTTCACGGGTGTCTTGGGGAATAAGCTGAGTTCTCTCAGTTAAGTGCTGGAACATGGGAAGGAAATACACAAGAACTGTGTGACCTGACGAAATAAAGGAAGATATGAAGTAGAAATCAACTGGATGATCTCTTGAGAAGCAAAAGTTACTGAATAGTACCAAGTTAAAATATTTATTTCAGAACGTAACAAAACAAGACTGGAAAGGTATAATCCCTAACGGAGGTAGGCTCCTCCATGTGCAGTCACGTGGGAGACGTGTGGATGGGAGTGTAGACCCTAATAAACGGGCAGAGTGTGTGGTTGTGGGCTGAATTTAGTTAACCTAAGATAGGGTCCATAATCTGGACATTACGAACACGCTAATGAGCCTTCGGGCTCCATAAGACACTGAGAATTACTTTCCTAGCACAACGACTTACTTAGCTCTTCAAGGACTCTGCTCAGTGGAATTAGTACGTTCGTGACATCAAAATTCTAAGCTCCTAATTGGCATAAACTGTAATGTTTTAATTGTATCTTAAATGCATGAAGTTAAATGAAGCTGTGGCCAATGTTGCAGGTCGGACATGAAAGAGTTGGCCTTGCCGTCCTCCTGTTGCGCCCCCCACTCGTTCCCCGCTGCCTCAACACGGGCTCTCATCAGCCTCCTGGTCTCCGCTGCACCAGCCGCCACCAAAACAACAGAGCAACACGAAACAAACTCTACCATCGGACACGATCTAGAAGAGGAGCTGTGTCTTCAGGAGGGAGAGCAGCTTCGGCAGGCGCCGTCGGCAAGGGAACTGCACCTACAGCAGTTGACTGCCGTCGCCGTCGTCGCTGTCCAGAACCTGAAACAGAAGCAGTGTTAGCAGTCGGGACTTGGAAACAGTATCGACAAGACAAGAAGCAGCATTATCAGAACCGACACAAGCAGCAATGTCCGACGATTCATCGTCTCTATCAGAGGAAGAACGTTCTTTGTTCCGTCCTTTCACCAGGGAATCGTTGGCGGCCGTTGAGACCCGAATCGCAGAGGAATATGCCAAGCAGAAGGAACTCGAAAAGAAAAGAGCGGAAGGCGAGGTATGGATTGGGTATTTCAGCCATATTTATTCTTACAGGAAACTTCTTAGTAGTGAGACTAATGGGCTTTTAGTACGGACTTGAGTTTTGCTAGTTTCTGAGCTTTAAACTTCTTCAAGAGGTTCGTCCCTGTAAATAGATGATACATCGTGGTAATGTAAAGAATCTCAAGTGTATATGTGTGTTTTTATTTTCTGGAAATAAATCCAGAAGTATCATGATAGGTTTATTTGCAGAATAAGGCGCTTAAAATATGATAGAAATATAATACATTCAATGCAATTATGAACGGATAAATTATCAAATTCTCACAGTTGCATTTAAAGCAAGTTGATCAAACAAACTATACCATTATAATCTCTCATATGATACTTTATAATGAGGATCTTCATTAGTTTTATATATCAGATAGAGAGTTCGTTACTTATTTTAAAGACAATTGATAGTAAAAAATACTCAAAGACTCGATTTTATGACGATACTATTGCTGTTAAAAGCATCACCATTATAATCAGTTTTCAACCTTTTAAGCCTAGAGGCCTGTTACATCTCATGGCAGCGTTTGTTGGGTTTCCAGAAATGCCTTTGAATTTTTCGTTGGTAACGGAGAATTTGGAACGAGATTAAAACCACGAATAAATTTCTAACAATATTTCCTCAGTCACAGATTTTACACAAATTTGTATTTGTTAAATTGAGTATCCGAACTTATTCTAGTACATAAAACGTTTAAATACCTGTAACAGTACTAAATGTTATTTTCATACAACATTACAATAGGTGATAAGCTTTGAAGTTATTATTTTCTTTAGTAAAAATGACTTCCCATTTCCTACACGATTTCAGTCTCCGTGTTCGTGTTATACTCAGACGATCTAGTAACCTACTACTTACGAACTGCCTTTGTTTCATCTTGTAGTCGATGTTGTTCTCTGTACGCTATATCTTCAATTTCCCTCAACTTTCATTCTGCAGTTCTTCTAAGTGTCGCCTACTCTCTGATATGTGGAAACTTTTGTCATTTTGACGTGTTGCTGCTACTGCTGCTGCTCATGTTGTTGTTGTTGTCGTTGTTGTTGTGTAATTCGTTTGTTTAATCGTATTAATATATTTGTATATAAATGTTTTTGACGTACTGTTACAGCATTTATTGGAATTTCTGGTGGTATTATTTCTTTATTTGTTTCTATACTCTGATATGTCTGTGTATGTAAAAATCTTCCCATTCTCACGTTGCAGGGGGAATTTGGACGCAGGAAAAAGAAAAAAGAAGTAAGAGTTTGTTAACTAATCCCCCCACTACTTTAATTTAATTTTACTTCTGCAGTATTTACTGACAACATATTAACATACACACCTGCCTGCTGCTTTTCGCTGACAACTTGCTATGGCTTGAGTGTCTTAGTATTTAATTTGCGTCTTAGTAATTGCTTAGATATTCTGGCTGCTGAATTCCAGTGACCTTCCGACATTCTAATTACGATTTAAATCACTTTCTGGAGCTACAGTTTTGGCGAATTTAATACAAAGCTGGATCTTCCACTACTTGTTAGATTTGTCTTAACTTGTGTTCTTTTTACTGAAACTTTAAAATCAAAGATTGTTTTAACGTATCGTTTCAACGGCTGTCTTGTATGAACAGTTGTCACTTCAAGTAACTAGTGCAGGACTCAAGAGACTGACTAGAATCTGTTACATTCAGCTGTGCCTTCGAGGATAAAGCAATGTCGTATCGTCACTAGGAACAAAATAGATACAGATGACATCATCAATATAAAGAAAATAACGCTTTTATGCCTTTGAAACAAACGAGTTTGGTCTCTTAGGTTTGAAAATGCATTTAAATTCTGTATTTCGCCATATTTCCAAAGAAATTAACATAGTTTAACAATGTTTACCAAATATAGGGACCTGTGAATTTAAATGTTAAATTTAAATATGGTTAAAATGCATTTTTCAGTCTGTTATTTGAAGCTGTCATCTAAAGTTAAATATATTCTTGTTTTTCTGCCCATCTCAGACCGCTGTTCAAAGTGCACGACTGTCGCTTAAGCCCTTCTAGAGAACCTACAGCTTGTCGCCACTGAAAATATATTTGATTTCTTTACGAAAGCATATCTCTTGTAATGTTGAAAATATTTATACACAGAGTCCACATGTAGGTATCAAGTCGCACAATCATTAATTATTTATAGCAAAGAATTTTCACGATAAAAAAAGGAAAAAAAGAAATTGTTTCTTTTTTTAGAACTGTTGTACACAATTATGTGATTTGCACATCTGTCTCATTCTCATCTCAATGAGCAACCTTGTAGACGGAATGTACACAATCATATATATTCTGAACAAGCACCAGAATATATCAGTAACGTTTTGAATGCCAGTATATTTTTTGGGGAGGGGGGAGGGGATTGTATGCCTAAATTAATTCAGGAATAAAAATGTCAAGAAAATACCTTTGTTTATTCTTTTCAGTTTACTTAAATTTTAAAGAATTGTTACGAGATAAGCTATAAATATTACAGTGACAGCTTCATTATGCATGATTTAACTGCTTTTAGATCGCTGGATTGAACATCGCATAGCCTAGAAAACAACCTGATCTTTAAACGGAATGAATCGCCTGTTATTAGATTCTGTTTTAGGGTTTATTGTAGGCCCATACTGAAACGGTGTCTTTTTTGCAACCGAAACACACCGCGTGGTTTTGCTTCGTCCTTTCACTACATTGCTGTCGCTTGTTACCTTCATGAAACTTTTGAGATTGATGAGGCAGTAGGAGCCTAGTTTGATTTCTTTTAAGTACGAACTCTTTCAAACACACCAATATACTGTTAAATGCAGTTAACTGGATTTTAATTAGACCTAATTCACGGTACATTTGTTTCACTGAAGTTGCCGAATTTGTAACTCAGTTTATTAATGAATAATTGAACAGCATAAAAGTATATGGCCCTGAATTAGTGTGTTTAATGAATTATAATAGCGGTTTAAGAATGTCTAATCACGTATTCCTTTACGTGCTTCTTGGTTCGGGATGATAGTAACACATCCACAATATAACGTAAGTACGTGTGTTAGACAGTGCAGTGAGTATCGCAAAAATCTATTTAAATTTTTTTATAGGAGGTTATACTAATTTATTTATCAAAAATAAGTATATTGATTTCCTTATATTTTAAATAGATATTTACAAAGTAACTTTACGCATTGGAAGTAGACATTTACGATTACATCCTACCGAAGTGATAGGTTTGTTTAACTATCAGTTTTGTGAAATAGAACGGTTCTGCCTATCAGACTTAAGCAAAGAAGTTCCAAAAATACCGAAATTTCATTTTCCATACACACGCATCCTCACGCACGCATTTTGCATAATAATTATTTATGCACTTAGCTGCAACTAAACACGTGATTGAGTGCTCAGTGTTCCTAGCTGGACATTTTAACTAACTCTGTCATATATTATCTTAAGTACTCGCGGCGACTAAACTCAATAAAATCTTCTTGGGCAATCAATTACGTCAAATGGTTACACGAAGAGAGATAACGTATCGGAAACCATTTGCCGCTGCTGATTGCCCAAGAAGATTTTATTAAACTCTCTCATACTTAATTAACACTTGCACATAGCACAATAAAATAATAAGGTGTTTTAGGAACACTGAGATAACGTTTCAAACATCGACTGTTTGAACAGAGTGGTCTAATTTCTTACTAAGCGTTTTTCACGTTTGCGTGTTATAGTGCGGAACTATCATGTATTGTCTTAAAATATAGAAAATAACTGATAAACTAATATTACACTTTCTTGGATCCTGACTTTATTTTTATCATCATCAGTTTTCTCAGATCAACTTTACTCTGTTTATTTAAAATAAACTGTTTACAAATTGCTAACTTTTGTTGAAAAAATGTCGAAACTCCACAAAACAAATTTCTTAATTTTATTTCGTGAAAGACAAAAAGGAGGAATCAATCTGAACTATTTACATAATTATTACATCAATATGCATGACATAAATTTACAATCACGAACATATTTTGTATTTTATTATAAAGTGAAAGTGTTTCGGTGTGTTTCGGAAATATTTCTTAGGCACAGAGCACATTTATCAACAGTTGCAACTTAGAACTACCTTAGATGATTAGTTTATTTTATAGCAGCAATTGAAAGCCTTGTTAGAACATAGAGGAACACTAATACATTTAGCTTCAAGCATAACGTCTGCATTACAATGTACTCATCTGTAAAGTTTGTTAATCAATAATTATTTTTAACTTACATTAAAATTTAAATTAATTTATCTCCCAAATGTTGGGTGGGAGAGGTCACACTGGTGCAGATTTTCGAAGTGCAAAATTATACACATTAATATTTAGTAAAGATGTCCTCGTTTTGAAATGCCGCTGTACAGGTGATCTTGTAGTTTAGTCGTTGTTTCACACAGATGTGAAACACAAATTAGGTGCTGGAGAATTTAAATATGTATTTCAGAAACATGTATGATAAAAATAAACAATCCTCAGTGTCATTCTGGAGTGATTTGCCTTATAATGCTGTCTAAATGGTCTTGAATTTTTCAAATATATTATCTTACTGCTATACAAATTGAGAAATTCGTCTGTTTTTTTTTTTTAAATCCAATAAAACCTGCTTTAACAACCTGTAACTGTACAGTGTGCTGGTGGCATTCAAATGATTCTCAGGCTAAGCAGAATTTTCATAAACAGCACTAATCAGTTGATCATTGTAATGGAGAAGTTGTGTTTTCCTTGTGATAGGGACTGAATCTTGGTCTAAATAATATTTAGGTGAGCTTCGACTTCAAAGGTTTAAGAATATTTTAGCTCATATTGGAAAATTGTAACTTATAATGGTGAAATAATATTGTGAATTTCACAGATAATTCTTACATACATAATAAAATGCATTTTAGTGTACTTTTACATTATATATTTAAGTACGATAAGGATGAACTTACAATATTTTTAGAACTGTAAGAGCATTTACATTTAAAATTAATTCTAGTGAAAAATACGAAAATGATTAATTATTTGTAGGACTGTGATTTTCTACAAGTTCTATAAAAGTCAAAGAAATATAACATTTGGGATAAAAGTATTGTATTTGTGAAACAACAGAGTTTTAACGAACAACTTTAATGTCAGTAATATTAATCATGTTAGCAGTCAAATATATAAATATTTCTGAAAAGGTAAGCTTCTTTTGTTATTTCATTATAATTTTTAACATTTTCTGACTAGTTGCAAAAGCATTTTGATAATATTTTGAATACAACATAACTTTATCGTTATAAAGTTATCCAACTGCTTGTGATTTCCTTAATGACAATGTTTCAGAAAGCCAAAAGAATGTCCAATTCACAGAATTGAAATTAGTCAGGTCCAAAAATTGATTTGTGTACTGCACATCAACAGTAAATAAATTCCATAAGCTTTATGTGAAGAAATGAAAATGCAGCATTATTTATAATTCTTTTTGCCTTTCTATATCAATGAAATTTCATAATTATATTGATGACATGATCAACTTGATGTAATCCGATTTGCTCATTAATATCTATGATGATTTTTATATTAAACAAAATGAAGTCATTTCAAGCACATATAATCAGAGGTGTATATAATGTGCTAAACTCCATTATTTCATAGAAATTAAAATACAGCCTTTCACCCACTCATTCACTTCACTCTATCGAAGTTTATTAACTCTTATATTGGTTAGTCCACTCAATATTTTCGGTTATTTTTATAAGACAAAAACAAATATATATATATATATAATTACAATTATATTTTTAAATTGTCGTGTAAAATGTCTGCATTCGTGACGTATGACTCCAAATCTGCATGCAGTTGCAAGGTCCATGCGGCAAACATGTTGGTAAATCGCAACTAAGACGAAACGGAAGTATTTATTCAACAGCACTTAACCATTCTGCTTATTGACCAGAGACTTTAGTTCTTACATAGGCTATTTAATCATTTGTCTTGGGAATATATATCCCAATTGATGAAAGATACGAAGTCATGTTCTCTCAGTGATTTTATTTTTTTGTAAACGTTTCGGGAAATTTAATAGTAATTAAATGTCACTAGTTAGAGATGTGTAGGGGTACAAAAATACAGCGTTTAGCGTTTTTCTAAAATATTTTCACAGAAGCTGACCATGAAAAAGCTAAGACTAGAGATGGAAATTAACAGTGTTTATTTCTAAATCTATGTTACATTTAACATTTATGTATGCAGGAAAGAACAAGGAATTTTTTTTGCCACGTTTAATGCAGAAAACTGTTTTTATTATCACATGTTTGCAATACTGCATTATTAACTGTTCGTAAAAATGTAAATCAGAGGGGAACTCGCAAAGTGGACACAAGCGGTTACCCTCTTCGACAGTTCTCGAGTGCTCAAAGCTGAATTGCTGTCTGACTGATTAAACAGATTCGGTACGATGACGAGGACGAAGATGAAGGCCCACAGCCGGACGCGACATTGGAACAAGGGGCGCCCATTCCAGTCCGGATGCAAGGTGCTTTCCCCCCCGAGCTCGCCTCCACCCCACTTGAGGACATCGATCCCTTCTATCACAACCAGAGAGTAAGCAACTAATTTTGATATTCTCTGAACTGTTTGGGCTGTTGCGCCATAGGAGAGGAGAAGATGTTCGTAGTAGTTCGTAGCGAAGTTCATTGCATTGTTCAACATACGAAGTAATGTTGACTGAAGTGTGGGACATAGGAATGTGATTTGGCGCCAGGGAACATGTGGAGGAACGGACGAAAACAGTAACTGTGAAACAACGCCGGGAAATGAGGTGACAGGAAAACGCCTGCACAAGCTGATGTCTGTCATAGATATTTGAAGTGGATGTAAATGTACGTAATAGCATTTCCTGAATATTCCTGAAGGATTGTTTGTAATGGTTTAATCTTAATTCTATATTAAACCCAACTGGGAACGAACTAAAAATACTTTTCTTAGCCACCATAGTTACTATAGTTAATTTTATTTCAACTAATACGCAATAATAAGGTACAGGGTTTATTCCCCAAATACTACTTGGGGGTTTGGGAAAGGGGGAGGACGAAGTCAAAAAGCGCAGTGTCTATCGTACATTACGTTGTCAAGGAGCAGTTCTGTAGCTGTCGTTTCAGTGTTGGCTTTAAAATTCAACTGAAAACAGAAAAACCGGAAACCGAAACTGAGAAACCAATGCAAGTTCCTCTGTCTTCCACGGTCGGAGCACAGATTTTTGCAGCATTGGGTCTAAGTGTATGACAAACAACCATAGCTAATACCAACCTAACAGCCTGCATATGTTTTCGTGGTTCAGAGAGGGCGCACGAAATCAGTGCGGGTGAATTACGTCATCCTTTGATTGGTCGAGGGGGGGGGGGGGAGGTTGCTTAGGATGATTGTGCTCTGCGTTCGAATGAAAAGAAGAAACTGCTCTTATCTCATCACAGGTTACCAGCCTACTTTCAACAGTAGTATTTTACAGTGGTAAGAAACAGTGAATGCGCGTGATTTTAATCAGTGCCAAAAAAGCACATGTTATGTAGTGGTCACATGACTGTTACCTGCAGCAATCGCCCTGATAATGGAGGTCGTAAGCTCTTCTGAAACGACGTTCAATATCTAGTAGACTACAAGGCGCTACCTCAGAAGACAAGCGTTCCCACAATTTGTAACCAGAACAATCTGCATTCCACTATGGAATTATAGGCGTTTACGGGCCACGTCTGAAATGACAAAAAACACACTTATAGGTTTTCTTATATGCTAAAAAGGATGAAGTAATCGAAAATAGGGCATGATAAACCCTTTAAAGCAATATTGAAACTATTGAAAGTTGTAAAAATTAGAACTCCGAATGGCCCAGAAACGTGTAAAAGAACTTCCCCAAATTGCAAAAAAAAGATAGGGACACTGATTTAACAATGGGTGTCAAAAATGTCAGCTAACAACCCTGTGACTGGTTGTTCCAAAGTAAGCAACATTATTGGAGTTTTATGAAATAATAAGAGTGATGTTTTAAAACGAGTTCAACCAGAATTCCATATCTGTACAAATTTTTACTTAGGTAAAGAAAGAAATGTTTGAGATAAAGGGTTTACTGAGCCATAACCACAACTTTTTAATCATTCCCAGTGCATACAGAAACCTATGAGCGTGGTTTATTTTTCAGTATCAAGCATGTGCCATAAACTCCAAGATGGAAGATTAGATTGTAATATTGTGTGCCCAAAATTTATAAAATTCTTATTGTATGGTTGCAGAACATGACTGTTGAAAACAGTACTGATATCTTACACGGGAGAAAATTAGTAATAAATCACAGCTGGTGTACTATCTGAGACCTCGCTTAATATTAATAGAAATTTAAAATTTGTGTGCTGCATTATTTTGAGTAAACAAACAGTCTGTTCTTCACTTCAGCCACCACTAGCCACAGCCCATTCTATGTTGCTTGCTTCTAGTTTATGCTTTTACAGTTTTTACTGCTTCATGGCCCTATACTGAAAGACAGCCAGTGATCAGTTACCACTGTAATGGATGAATTTTGGATTTATTAAGACCCACAGATTAAGTCAAAAACATGTCACTGTAGCATGATTCCTTAAACTGTCTGGTGAATGTAAAGAAACCTGTAATTCAAGATAGTTCTGCCCTGTTTGTTATTTGAACTGGGTGCAATCAAGAAATCATGCAAATTGTCAATAATACTGCTTTTATGTGTTGTATTTAATAAATACCAAAACAGAAGTATAAAGTTTTAGAAGAGTCTTAAAATTATTTATGACATAGTGTGTAGTATCTAGGTGTAATTTCATAATAAGAGCAAAATGTCATAAGATTAACAGCTAACTGACAAATCCAAGACTCTGATGCGATGACGAAGTATTGTTCATTATCAATTTATTACCTTCCTTAATTTATGTAGGCATATTCTTCATGTTTTTACAAGGATTGTTGTGAAGTCGTAGAAGTAACAAAATATATCATGCTGTTTCTAATTTATATTATATATTCTCACAGCAAAGAGTAAGGAGATATTTGTTTTCTGGGATGTTATGCCATGAAGTCTAATAGATACTGACTGACATTTCAGAGGAGCTTACTGCCTTCATCATCAGGGCACAGCATTCCAGAAGGCAGCCATCTTCATGCTATTAGAAATTAAAATTCTTGAAGATTTCTGTCCTCTGGGTTGTTGCGCTGTGTAATCTGGTCGATGTTAACCAACGTTTCAGAGGTCATACTGCCTCCGTCATCGCAGTATGACCTCTGAAACGTTGGTTAACATCGACCAGACTACGCAGCGTAACAACCCAGAAGACAGAAATCTTCATACTCACCACTGTGAAAACCTCAGATCTTACATTAAAATTCTTGATTTCATTATTGCAGCTAAAAAATTAGTGTTGTGTATTATGCAATGAGATTGAGAAAATATGCTATGAAAATGGTGATTTAATGTTACTATATATTAACATCTCCCTTTACAGACTTTCGTGGTGGTAAGCAAAGGAAAGGACATTTTTCGGTTCAGTGCGACAGACGCCATGTGGATTCTGGACCCATTCAACCCAATCCGGCGTGTCGCCATCTACATCTTGGTTCATCCCTTGTTCTCACTATTCATTATCACCACCATTTTAACCAACTGCATCTTCATGATTATGCCTACAACCCCCACAATAGAGTCCACTGAGTAAGTTGTGGTGAAACAGATATTATGTACATAATTACTCTCTTTTATAGGGGTTACACTAGTGTGGGATTTTAATTTTATATTTAGAAAATAATAAAGAAGTTAAACACAGTTTATTCAGTTTAAATTTCCAAAATATTATAATTATGTAGTAAAGTGATAATGCAATAAATTTTTTTGTCTCTTGTAGTGTATGAGCACTAATTTTATACTGCTTTAAATCATTTGATTGCAAGAAGACTTAGGGTGTCTACAATTGTAAAAAATTGCTGCCAGAAGTGCAGGTATTGTCGCAAAACATTTGTTACTCAGATGTTATTGCATCAAATATTTATGTTATTGAAAATTTTCTAAATTAATTTATCCATAGTAATATGTTATGGAAATCATTATATAAGATGACATTCCTCATATGTGGGTATTGCTTAACTGCAATGTTAAGAAATATAAGAGGAACAGTATTATCTATAGTTATAAAAATGTGATATATGATGTGCTAATATGCCACCCTTATTGTGGTGAATAAGAATGTTTTATTAGTTTAATTTATGCAGATAGAATAACTCCAGATTTTATCCTGTTATTTCACAGAAAAATGTGTTTTGTTATTTCTTGCTAGTATACATAATTTGGAAAATGGAACCATTGTGTGAAAAAATATTTCCTTATATATGTTACATAATTTATAGAAGTACCAAGACATTAGCCAACATGAAGTTAGAAAACATTGACAGTCTTCAGTACTAAGGCTAGGAATGACAAATTATAAGTGAACAAGTATTTTGGCTGGGGGGTTATTAATGATTTAATTTCTTTCTTGTTATATACAAATTAACAGGTGATTAAATATAAGTATTTTTGTTTAATTTGTTGAAAAAACATAAGTTTAATGTATTATTTATTCTTTCTCCTCTGAAGTGTTCAGTTGATACATACCAGAAAGGTTTGCAGGATTAAATAGAATGTTGAAAATTCAGAGTACCAGATTTTATGCCTTTGCAACAGATCAGTTTTTTTGTCATACTTGTTCCATTTAGTTTGTTTATTAGATGTAACATCTGATTGACATACATACAGATGGAAGATGGTATTAAATAGAATTATGGCAAACATATTTTGCATGTAATGAAGCAGCTTATCCAATGAGCTGAAGGTAAGAAAGATGGTGCTAGGGCTGAGTGAGTGGACAAGCTAATGTGGACATAATTTTAGTGGTATGCTGTTTTTTCTTTCCCAGTCCACATACAGAAGATGTGGGTCACTCTTAGTACTTACCAGCATATTGCTGTTTATTTTTATCTTCCCCTCCCTTTTAATATTAGCTGACCCCACAACATAACAAATTCAAGATAGTTATGAAGAGGCAGTTTAAAAATGTAATTCGAAAGTAAACATTAAATAATTTTGACACATTAGGCATGGAATCTATATACAAGCAACACATTATTTCCAAAAATATAATGGTAAATAATGATGGATCACAATAATAATAACAATATTCTGTAACATATTTACAGTTGCTCACATAATAATAAAAATATGACCCCAGTAGAATTCAGTCATACAAACATCTGCAGGCATAATCCCAGAATGCAGTGCGATAAGAAAGCAGACTTTATGGGTTCTACATGAAGTTATCTGTCCGCGCGGCCTGAGGTGTGGGTCTTGTGCCGCTTGTTCGCAGGGACCGTGGGTTCGAATCCCACTCAAGCCATGGATGTTTTTCTGTGTTCTGTGTTGTGTTGTCCTGTGTACAGGTAGAGGCCTTGCTACGGGCCGATCCCTTGTCCAAGGAGTCCTACCGAATGTCCATAGATCAAGCCAACTGAAAAAAAAGTTGGGGACCTGTACTGGAAAATGTACAAACATTGTTAAACCGGAAAAAAGAAGAATGAAGTTACCTGTGTTTTTGTTGAGTCTGATTGCTATTTGGTGACATAATTTTAGTTGCTGTTTGTGGCCATGTTCTTTCTGTTACACTGCAGCAGATCTGTATTCTGCACTGTGTTATGATTGGATTCATTGTTATGGGAGAAATACTTTGTACTTTTTACATCTGTACAAACACACTCACACATTTTCATGGCCTCTTCTGACTGCATTAGAGAAGAAAGGCCTGCAGGCTATGAACATTTAGAGTCATAAATGACATACCATTTTATACACTTTATTTATAGCTCATAAATAGACTTAATTGCAACCTGACATAAAAGTCATTATTGAAGATAAAATTATGTAGTATGTTTATTATTGAGTGTGCATGTAAAAAATTGTGGCTGTGAAACTTAATATCAATATAAATTATGATTCCTGGTTACCTGTTTTGAATGGTGATATTCTTTGAGGAAGTTGTTATGTTATTGTTTCTTCCTCAACCATCCTGCCTAGAAATACAGCAGCATATCTGGAAACAATATTCAGGGGGCTGTATATTAATTGGAAATTGTTATCTTAGTTCTTGTTGACTTTTAAATATCTTCTGTGTCCTCATTTTCATTCTAAAACACAGTATGTATTGTAGTTCTGGTAGTGTAATAAGAAACACAAATATGTATTGTGCTTATTCTGTATTGATTGTTTTTGAGGAGCTGTAGAACTCTTTATTTGAGTTACATATTTTAAATCATTGTAGTGCTTCAGTATACCTGCCACAACACAAATTGCACACCAACTGTGCTTGTTCCCTTTATCTTTATAGTATGTTTTTGTGGTAGTTAGCTTAGGCCTAACACAGAGACATTCTCTTTCAGAGTAATTTTTACTGGCATCTACACATTTGAGTCGGCCGTTAAGGTGATGGCAAGAGGGTTCATACTTCAGCCATTCACATACCTTAGAGATGCATGGAACTGGCTGGACTTCATAGTAATAGCTTTAGCGTGAGTAGTGATGTGAGATTGATCCATAGATGATCCATTAGATGATCTGTAGATAATTTCTTTCAACAGTTTAATTTTTTCAGTGTTGTATGATAGAGGTTTATAAATGTGCATTTGAAATGTGGAACACTGATATGAACTAGTATTTATTAATGAGAGATTTATAATTTAGAACTATAGCTTAGTATAAATGTTTTATGCAGATGTAGTTCCTAGTTGTAGCTCTTCAAGTTATTACATTATTGCTTATTTTGGTAACACTAAAGTATACCTCATTAGATAATGTTTGCAGTATAACTTAAAAAACTGCAGTTCACGGTTATCTCGTGTCATATGAAAGAAGAAAGAAGATTAAATCATTGTACTGATTTGAATAATTTATATTGCAGTGAAACCTGTAAGATTTGATGTTTTCTCAGTAATGTGAACATAAATAATCCTTAAGGTTGTTGTACTGTGTAGTATTCTGGCTGTGTGCCAACATTTCAGAGTAACATACCTCTTTCATCATCAGGGTTGAAGTGAGGAGGATTGGGAAGTAGATAATTTGTATAGGGAAAGGAGATGGATCAGGTCATGGTGAACTGACCAGTCAGAACTGTGAGATGGCGAGGGAAGATGGAGCCATGTCTAGACCAATAGGAAAGATTCTTTTTGAGGTACCAGGAAGGAGTAGATTGAAATGGTTTGGACATGTGAACAGAAGGGATGAGCACAGAACACCAAACACAAGAAATATTATTGTAAATGAATATGATTGCAAGAAGACTTGGGGACAGACCGTATACACAGTGGATAGACAAAGTTAAGAGAATGGAGAGAGGAGGGAAGGAGATTGAAGGAGTGTAAATGGAATGAAAGAATGGGCAGAAGGAGACCGAGACTTCTATGTTACAGATGGTCCACAAGTGTTTAAATTATTTAAGGAAGAAGGAAGGCTGGGACAGAAGAGGAAAAAAAAGTGGCCCTTTTGAGGGACCAGAAATGAAAGCTGGATCAAGAGGAAGCAAGAACAAGAATTCATTCTGTGATATACAATCATCAGTACTTCTGAAATCGATTTGTGATAGCCATCTTTTTGTCTTGTACCCTTTATTGAAATATGCATGAACAATAGTTTGTTTATGTCATTGCTTTCCCAGTAGTTGTATATAAAGATATTGCCTGTATTTGCAACAAAGTTACTACATTTTAGATGTTTTGTGTAATTAACGCTGTCTTGAGCAAAATCTTAACAACTAAAGATGTTTTTATAAAAAAAAATTCATTCACAGGTCCGAGTGAGTAATTTTATATGTAAAACTAAGCAGTTGCCAGTGTTCAGTAATATGTATTTATGATTTTTGTAATCTTTATTTGCAGTTATGTAACCATGGGGATAGATCTAGGAAACCTGGCTGCTTTGCGAACATTTAGGGTGCTTCGAGCTTTGAAGACTGTTGCTATTGTTCCAGGTGAGGTGTGGATGCAAAAATCAAATAAACCAACAGTTTTATTATTCTAATCCTTTACAGATACTGGAAAGGATTCTTCCTGAAAATTTCAGTTAGATAAGAAAATAGTAGTCTCGATCTGCTTGGGTTTCTTGAGAAAATATGTATCAATCACAAGCAGGAGAAGTCAGTTTGTACTTCATCTTTTGTTGACAGAGCCTGAAAACTGTTCTTATATGAAGGAGGTGTGTTTCTGAATTATTTTCTATTCAACTCTTTTATATTTTCCAGGCCACAGGGCATGGGGTACACATAATTTTTTTTTTTTTTTGACTGGATGTGATAGGTGGTGGGTGGGGGCATCCTCTTTACAGTTTACTGATTGTATGGGCTACTAATAAGGAGCATGACTTGAGGCCTTGTGAAATACTGACTTGTTGACCTTCTCGAGGTGATTATTTGTTTTAAATCACTTTTAAAATTTGTCATGAAGCATTTATTGTCTGCCAGCTTATATCATTGATCAACGTATTACTGTGGTTGAAGCAGTATCAGTAAGTAAACTAAGAATCACTGAACATGCAGACATTAATGTTAGTTAGAAATATGACCATGTAATAAACATGCAACTATTTTACTTGTATTCAGGTTTGAAGACTATTGTTGGTGCTGTGATCGAATCTGTGAAGAACTTGCGTGATGTGATAATCCTCACCATGTTCTCTCTCTCCGTGTTTGCCTTAATGGGGCTCCAGATTTATATGGGTGTCCTCACACAGAAGTGCGTCAAGAACTTCCCTACAGATGGCTCATGGGGGAATTTAACAGATGAAAGTTGGTTCAAGTTTTGCAGTAATGATAGTAAGTTTAATTAATTGCTTATGGTAATTAATCATACTCTTCCTTTAGTTAAACATTTTACCCATTGAATTCAAACAGTAATACATATTGCTATTACTATACTATTATTTGATTATACTCGTATAACAGTGATACATTGATACAGCGATTGTGCTGATTATGATGATATGTGAGATATATTTAACATACAATATGTTTTTGGAATTGGTTCTGTTCCAATGAAATATTTTTGTTTTTAATTTTGAATCAGTGCCAGCACTTTGGATCAAACTGAGATGAATACTAATCATATGTGGTAACGACTACATTAGGGATTTTGTATATTTTTGATTATGCTTGCCATTTTTCTAATGTACTAGAATCATTGATACCTGATTGAGCTTAGTGCTGTTGTCAGCTATTTTAAAAATCATGAGTTTTTCTTCTTCTACATGGAAAAATATGCATCTGATACAGCTGTTTGTTTTTGCTCTAAATAGAAGTGATTTCTCAGATAGATAATTTCACATAGTACAGTTTCTTGTAATTATTTACTTTAACTTTGCAACAAGTGAAAGGCATTCTTGAAGTGTAAGGTTAAAAACTAGACAATCAAGGAAAGCCTTATCTTACAAAGTGACTTTTGACTCCATGATTACCCAAAGGCATGATCAGAAAATTCTGATGTAATTTTTTCTCTTACTTACAGTTATAAATTTCCAATGTGGTGTATAAAGTTTAGCATTTGTTTTAGTTCATGTCACAGCTGGTAGGTTATTCTGCAGTATGCTATTAATAGAGAACAGTTTGAGCAATATTTACAAAATAATTGTACTGAAAATTAGTATTTCTGGGTATATCCAAAACTATGGTTGCAAAAGCTTACTACATGACAAAATAGTTTTATTTATGGCTGGGTCTAAGTGTGTTTAAAATTGTGATTCTAAAATATAAGTATGTTATAACTGTTACAGCAAACTGGTATATACCGGAAGATGCACCAGATTATCCCTTGTGTGGAAATTCATCAGGAGCTGGGTAAGTTTCTGACTTCAGCCTCATATTCAAGGGTGCAGCTGATACTGTTGTCACAGGTTGTTTCTTTAAATTCAACTATTGGCTTCATAGTAGCCCCATATCCCCATTAGACATTCATTTTCAGGCATTTCATTAGCCCTCAACTACATTAGAAGTGCCAGGGTCTAGGCCGCTATTATGTTTTACTCTGAAAACTTTTCGTGCTTGAATATTGTCCCCAACACTGTACCATTGATTTGGGATGAGAGTTCAGGAGGAAAATGATGAATTGTGGGAAAACAGAATAGGTGGGGAGGCTCGGTTTTCAGACAACACGCTTGAAGTGAAAATGTCTTGGCAAGAAGAGGAAGCATGAACCACTAAATGAATTAGGGGTTCCAGTACCTGGATTGTCCCTTCATATTATAGGTTTGTACTCATTCTTTGGACAAAGTACATAAAATAGAAGTAGACAGAGAGGGTCTATGTTTCCATCAATTTATGTTCATTTCCAAAAATACTTGACTGGTGTGATGAAATGTAGTATCTAGAGTGAATGCTGAATGTTATCAAACTAAGTTGGTTTTGGCCTGTACAGTTCCATTATTACCTCTGCTTTAAATGAGGATAAAATTGATCTTTATAAAATATATCAAATATAACTCATTACACAAAAAATTGGTATTTAAAATATGTCTCATTAAGACAAAATGTTTATTTGAAACATTCTTTTAATGTTATGTATGTTGAAAATAAATAGGAACCAGCAGTTTATATGTGAAAAATCTGTACTGTTAATTGGGTTTGTCAATTTATATTCAGTATTTTGATTGTTGGTTAGTTCTATAAAAATTAATTTGAAGGAGGCAGTAAAGGAACATTAAAACTGAAAAGAGATATAAGATTCAGAGAATCTTGTTTTGGAAATTATAATTTGGTTTTCAGTATATCTTTCCATTTATGTTTTAATCATTCATGTGAATAATTTGTTAGTAAGGGGGTGCTTATTTATCTTTTCCAGTATGTGTCCACCAGGTTACACATGCCTGCAAGGGTTTGGTGGTAATCCCAACTATGGTTACACCAGTTTTGACACTTTCGGTTGGGCCTTCCTGTCAGCCTTCAGACTGATGACACAGGATTACTGGGAGAACCTTTACCAGCTGGTAAGATAATTGAGCAATTTAAGAATTTTAGTCATTTTCCTGTTCCAGGTATCATTTCTTCTTGCAAGTTTTTCTTGAAGTGTTATGTCTGTCAATTTGATATACCCATGAAACAAATTTGTTCAAAATCCTGATACTAAAGGTAAAATTTCATATATTAATTTCAACAGGTTCTGAGATCAGCAGGTCCATGGCATATGTTGTTCTTCATTGTGATAATCTTCTTGGGTTCATTCTATCTTGTCAATCTGATTTTGGCCATTGTTGCCATGTCATATGATGAACTGCAGAAGAAGGCTGAGGAGGAAGAAGCAGCTGAAGAGAAAGCCTTAAGGGTAAGTGTTACTTCTATATTAGTCAAGCTACACAAATGATTATATTTTCTGCATTTGGTCCTTGTTAAATTAATTGTTTTCATTATAGGCTGTTATAGTGCCATAAATGACTTGCTTATTTTCCCCAGTTTATCTTGTTTTTCCAAGTACAAGGTGCATGTATGAATGGAACACAGTCTCCTGTATAGTATGATCTGTCAAAATATGAGACAGAAAGGAATGTGGATACTTTCAAGTGTGACTGGCAAGTAACATAGTGTTTTTAAGTATGTAGTTAGGCCAGGTGAAAGTTATTGCAATATAACCTCATTAATTAGGTTGCAGGAACCAAATGAAGGGATGGAAGCCAGGATAATTTATTCATAGGTACTAAAACTGAGATATTTAAGGATAACAATGAAGAACAACTAAACAAGGCTTGAAAGGTATAATCCATACCAGAATACACACATGCAGATTATGAATTATTAATGAAAGCTATGTATCAGTTATCTTAGTTAGACAACAGTTTCTGCCTATACAAATAATATGGTCTTAACGTCTTCTTTAAGTAATGCAAATCATTACTAATATGTGACAAGGTGTGTGAGCTCTGTGGTAGCATACAGAACTCATATGCATAGGGTCATGGGATCAAACTCTAATGAAGTGAAAACTTTTTCTTCTTTCATGCAGTTGGCTTGTTGTTATTTTATATTATACAAATAAAAGAATATCAAAGTTGTCAAAGAGCAGTTCTAATAATGTATTAAAAGTGTAAAGCTATCCATGGTACTTATTAAGCATTACAACATGAAGATGTATTGGGGAGTTGCAGTTTAGCTCCACTCATTCTTTTTGTCAGCACTAGACAGAGGTGATTGGTCAGCTTCATGTCTCGTCCACTTACTTGCTGGTAAAGAACCCTCTGCACCCATTAGATAGGGGGCTGGTTGGGTCCCAGACATGGTATCCTAGCAGAAAAATCTTTTGCCTCTGCTAGGAATTGAATACTGGTCCAATTCTGTAGTTTTTTAGTGTATGTCCATAAGTCACTTGTGTAATGTTTCAGGATGCAGAAGAAGCAGCTACTGCTAAAGAAGTGAAAAAGGCAAAACATGCTGATAAGTTAGCACATGCAGCTCAACAATCAGCAGAAGTAGTCAAGTCTCCTTCTGGGAGTTCATGCCTTAGTTACGAACTGTTTGTGGGTCAGGCAAAAGGGAATGATGATAATGGGAGAGAAAATATGAGCATTCGTAGTGAAGGAGGGGACGCAGTAAGTGAGCACAGAGGGAGAATTGCTGGAGCCAATGGAAGTATGGTCCGCAAGGTGAGTGCGGTAAGTATCAACGACTTCACTCTTTCTTCCTGGTTCTGTACTGTAGTTGGTGTATTTGATGTCATATAATTTGTAATAATATTTAATTCTAATGTGAAGAAATAATTAAAATAAAGAAATGTGGTGAGATATATATGCATGTATGTATGTGTGGATGACAAAAAAAATACCTTCTTTAAAAAGTGTTTCAGACAGATAATTTAGGTTTTGATTAAGCAAATATTTTATATTTTGTAGATTTTTTCATTTAATATGTTTCCACTATAATTATCATAAAATATTAAAGTTGTTTTGGCTACATGTTTGTGAAATTTAAGTAGCCGTGATATTTTAGCTACTCTAAGTGTAACAGGAAGATCTTGCAATTGAAACTTAACATGTAGGTGCTATAAAACTTAGGCTAAATAACAGATTTTAAACAAATAACATATTGAAACAGATGCAAGTCTTCTGGTGTCGTTTGTTTATAAATCACTAATGCTTGTTTTTGGAGTCAGGTGGCAGAATAACATTTTTGTTGATTGCAATTTCTTTTAACATTTAATTGTATGAAGTTTTTACTAAATATGGAGGTCATACCAAAGTCATGGGCATGTTTATTGTACACTGAATCAGTTGTATATGAAAGAATGCTATCAGTAGTACCTAAATGTGTCCAATCACTTTTCTTAAAAATCTCTAGGTTTATCTACACATTTCTGCCAGTACTGTTTGAGCCTGAAGATCACTCTGCTTTGGCTGCAAACTGTTCCAGCACCTTGCAACCAATTATGCAGAAAGTCCTGGAATGTGTCATCATTCTTATAATGCTGACTTATTACGTGATTTTTCAGTGTCCTAAATAGGTGGTAATCTGAGGGGTCCAGACTATGGTGGATGCAGGATCATCCCAGCTATTCTTTGTAATTGTTTCTGATGCACGTTGTGATGTCATGCATTGTTGTGTTGAATAATGACAGTAATCTTCACCTGGTGCTTGTATGGAAATAGAGATTGCAGTTTCTTCAGCATCTGAATGTAGCAAGCCACTGATGGTTTCCTCTTACAGTAGAAAGTCAACTGCTATGCATCCTTCAGTATTGGACAAGACAGTTTCAGACAGTTTCCTTAACTTTGCCAACCGAATGTACAGTTCTGGCCTCCTTCATTTTTAGAGTTGTCATGTGATGCCATTCCATTCAATGTCATTTAATTTCCGAGCTTAAATGGTGGAACCTGCTTTTTTCACCAGTCAGGTTGTTGAACAGGAAGTCACCATCCTTGGCAGCATTGTTTAAGCAACTATGATGACTATCCATGTTTTTATTTTTGTTGTTGTCCATAAGCAAGATGAAATCCCAGCAGGACTAAATTTCCTGATATCAAAAATTATCCTGTACTACGTGGTGTTCTATGCCAAGTTTCACTGACGTTTTGCTTTCATCCTTTGGTCAATTTTGATATGCATATTAACTTTCTGCCCATTGTGTTCGGTTGTGGGCTTCTCAGTTATCCACAGTGTGGTTGTTTGGCAGTTTGTGTTTCCATCTGTCTGTAGTTAAGTTGTTTTCCTTCATAAGTAAAATAATTACTGTAGGTTGGTAAAACAATACATCGTTGACAGCCATTTTGTGAGAGTGGATTGTGTGACTGCTACTGGTGTGAATGCACTGGACCTGTACTCGTATTGTAGAGGATGGATATTGCGATTGATTTTACCAATTGTTCTACCATATGTGGTACAAATTTGTGTAATCCAAGAAATGCTCATGACTTTTGGTATAGCCATTGTACATGTAACATGGTGCAACATGTAATGTAGAATGGACATTTCAAACAAAATGCTCGTATGCTTTTCCATTTGAAGAACAATTTGTGAAAGAATTACAATTTTAACAATACAGATGAAGGAATACATGTAACCTGTGTCTGCTTTTGTTACATATGTGTAATTAGTGTCAAATTCTGTGTTCTTGCTTATGGGTGTGTATTATTTAATTCTGGTTTAAGTTGTAATTTTGGTATATGTCTCTGAATTGCATATATTTTTTGGCTTTCAATTGTAGTGTGTTTTTCTTCACTGAACTGATTTGTAAGTTAATGTAGTTGTGTTAAGCAAGATACTCCTTTAAAATTGGCTTCAGTTTTGAGTCACAAATTCCACAGTATTTCTGTAGACCAAGATGACGATATTCATATTCGAGCAGACATTTAGAATCTTTGAATTTTACGTACTGAATTATAAATAAATCATTTATTGTTGGTAAAATGGTACACTTGTTCAAATCTTATATTGTCATATTTATGGAAAGTAATTTCAGTAAATTCTTGGCTTATGCTTGAATAATTTCGTATTTTTGAAAGAAGTCAATCCATTAATTTATTCATGAGTGTATTAACTGAGATATTTAGGCAAAATTGGTCTACTGATATGTGTTTCTTTATGCATCTCCTTACCTGTCTCTGTATGATAGAAAAGAGAACAGAAGGTTACACCTCATTTATCAAAGTTAAGCAGTATATTTGGGATCAAGTTCTTTTGTACCAACTTGAAAGTTTACTGAACTTCATTATACAAGTATATTGTAAAATTTGGAGCAAAATATCTTTTATAATGCAGAGAATGTTGGTTGTGTCAGTTCATTTTTTGATTGACACACCTAATTATGAGTTAGAGTTTGAATAATAACAGACATGTCCTTGCAACAAATTTTTATTACATAAACCATACAAGAACAATTAAAAATGTGTTAATGTTGCAGTGTGTATTATCTACCTCATAATTTAGTATATATTGCAGCCTTGTTTCATGTAACCTTAATGGAGCATGTTGTTTTATATGTTGTAAATGGAGACACGTGTTGTTTATATGTGTAAAATATCAGGTAGCAGCAGATTATAATATTCTTAATACATATGGCTTCTTCTTTTCTATACTATGCAGTTTTGGCGGCTAAGTTGTGTAGAATGGTGCATATGCTAGTGTGACCAGGCATCAGCATGGATGTAACTTTTCTTCAAAATTCATGCTCTTTTTAGGCTGGTCTCAAACACTTTTGAGTGTTCTGTACTTTGATTTAAATGTTTGAGAATTTATAATCATTTTAGCAATATTCCATTTAAAAATAGAGGGTGTTGAACGTGATGAAGTGAACATTGATGTGCTCTGAAGAACAAGCAGAAATTTCTATTTATAGCTGACCCTAGACAAGCAAGTTATAGACTTCATGAAAAAATATGGTTCAATTTGGCTGAAATACTGTATAACATTCTCTTTAAATTCAGTGCAAATGAAACTAGCTTGGCTAATTAACATGTGCTTAAATGGAACCTGTAGATAGGTCCTTATAGATAAACATTTATCTGATGCATTTCCTATTCAGAATGGTCTGAAGCAAGGAGATGCTTTATCACTGTTAAACTTTGCTTTAGATTGTGCCATTGGGAAGGTGCAAAGAAACAAAGAGGGATTGGAATTGAATGGGAGACATCACAAAAACTATGTTGGATGTTAGTAAGAAAGTTGGTCTAGAAGTAAACACAGAGAAAACTTTAAGTCTGTATCTCTCCACCAGACTACAGGGCAAAATTACTATATAAAGGTAGCTAATAAATCCTTTGAAAGTGTGGAAAAGGTCAAGTATTTGGGACAACATTAAGAAATCAGAATTGCATTTTCATGGAGATTGAGAGCAGACTAAATTTTGTAAATGCTACCATGCCATTCACAGTATTTTGTCTTCTCATTTTCTACCCAAAAATGGTACTAGAAATATTTTTACCTGTTGTTCTTTGTATGGGTGTGAAAACTGATATCTCACATTAAGTGAAGTGAAAACATTCTTTGACAACAGGGTTCTTAGGAGAATGTTTGTACTTAAGAAGGCTGGAGAAAACTGCATTATGATAGCTTAATAGTTTGTGAACTCTTCACCAATTTTTATTGTGATTATCAAATTAATAACGATGAGATGGGTGGGACATGTAGTGCATGGGTGAGATGGAGAAATGTAATGGAAGGTGAATTTGAACTTAGATGCAAGCATAATCTGTGTTTGATGAAATAGTCCTGATGAAGCAAAAGCTGAGAAGCCTAACTGCACTCCTCTCCTTCCTCTCATTCTCAAGTGTGAATGAAGATAAAAGAATGTAAGTAATGCAAGAACTTAAAAACAAATAACATTTTATGGCTTCGACAGCCATGACACATCTGGTGATTTTAAAAAAAAGATCCTGCTTCAGAGAGGACCCAGGTTGCCCATACCATAGGCATACATGCTATCAACTGAACATATGATAGTAAAGTGAAAGATGATTTATTTTACTGGGCCTTCAAAGTAACAGTGAAGAAAGAAATTAAAATTTTGTATTACAAAGAAACAATGGAGTGTCTACGCTTAACATTTTGGTCAAGAAGTCAGATGAGGGTCCACCGCCACACTACAAAACTGGAGTTAAATCAAAGGATAACAATTTGCCAGGCCCCCTTGTAAATGTTTTCCAAGAAATGTTTCGTGTTGTAAAGTAAGAATATTTTAAGTTCAGTTTCTTTCCTATTTGCATTGAAGTGTTACTTGTCAGGAAATGCCTGTAAATTGGTGGGTAAGGTCTTGCTTTCCTACTCTTGAAGTGAAAACATGTTTGATTTATATAGAACAATTCTATACAGTTTCTACTGATTCACTTAAAACTGTCTGAGACCAACTGCATTATGGCACATAGCTGTAAATGAAGAACTGGTGTATTTCACTCACACTGATTCCTGTCCACCAACATTTTGTGTGTTGAAAATTTGCTTGCATCATTCAATTTCACTAAGGATACTGGCAAATTTGGTACCCGTTATAGGTAATGTTTGCTATCCTAAGCTTCTACACTGGCTTTTACATCTGTGTCTTCTGCCTGTGTTGTTCTTAGTTTGTAATAGAAGTTCACATTCATTTGGAATATTTGTCCTTATTCTTACAACTTTATATAAAAGTAAACTGTTAAGTGGTTTCCTTAGTGCTTCCATAATGATACTTATTCTGTTATGAGAAATGCCTTCTAAATACTTGTGTGGCTAGGCTTGAGAAGTTGATTGTCATCCTTGGCTTATACGATGTTATCTGTTCTAATAATTTTGTTGTCACATTTAAAGGGCTGTAGAGTTTTTGGTGCATTCACAATAAAAAAATTGCAAAGAAGTGCCTTTTAACTCTGTCATGTGTATTTGGGTAACCCTCAATCTGCCCACACTTAATAACATGAAAAATGTGTTTTTTAAAACTTTATATTGGGGGATTTTACCAAACGTTTATGGACAAATTCCAGTTTTTCTTAAAAATGGACAACAATAGTAGATACTTTACATCAAGTTCTACATATTTCTACAAGCATTTTGAGCATAATTCACTAAATATTTACTTGAGTGAAAGTTTCTGAACAAAAGTTGTAGTTAAAAATAAATAAAACATTTTTTGCCCATTATAATTTCTCTAAAAGAGTTTTTTAAAAAAATAACAAGATAAATTTTTATGCCATACCATTGTGTAAGTTGAGAACTGTTGGTCTGATTTTGGTTAACCTTTACATTGGAGGGTCTTCTTCATCCACCTCACCTGCTTTACATTATTAGTAAGAGAGTATCAAAAGCTGGCATTCATTAATTTAAAATCTAGAGGCAGTTTTTACTTTAAAGTACTACCTAATTTGCTTACTGTCAAGTTTTGTAAAGCTTTACACAAAGAAACATTAATGGTTACAATGTAGAAGACATAAGCAAATTCATTTTATAACTATTGTGCTTTACTGTGATTACTGTATATAATCACAATGAAATAAGACTGTTCTTTGAGATTTGAGGTTCCCATGGTGGTCAAGATGTCAGTGTTGGTAGTATGGGTCACAACACCATTTGGGTTTGTAGGTAGATTGGAGGACCATACTGCCTTAATTTTCAAGAACTTACACGGTTTGAAGATGGGAGTGGTATACTCTGAAACACTGGTGTCTGTCTACAGATTCACATGGCATTAAAACCAAGAAGACCGACAGTGACAAGAATGTTGTTTGTAATGATGTTTGTCATGGGGTTGTTCTAAAATAATAATGCATTTGCAGAGGTAACTGTAAAGAAAGATGAATGTTATCCAGTTAGAATATTTCTTCAAAATTCTGTGGACAGTCATACTACATATGCTATGATTATATGATTGTTGTTACCTACAGATTATTTATAGACATTTCTAAGAAATGCATAGAATTCACCCTTCTTTTACACTCAGTTACATTAGCTAATCTCACTCCATTTGCTTTCAGTCTGTCCCTTTTAATTGAATCTAAAATGTTCCCATTTCCTGTCTCATTTTATATAATTTTTAACACATTCCACTCCAGAATTATCATCGTGTACACTCTTTACATTTGATTTTATCTAATTTTATGGGACAATGCTGTAACTTTTACTTACATGTGAAATATGAAATTTTTTAGTCCAACTTTGCTGTAACAGCTAATAAAATCTGTTTATGTGAAGAAATCCTGAAAAGCACTAAAGAAATCACACCAGTTTTGCAGCATGCTGTTTGTTTCCCTTGGATGGAATTTTCTGTTCTTTTCATTTGTAGTGTTGTCATTCATTACATTGGCACTTCGTAAAGGAAGAAATATTCTTTTGTTTACTGTACAGTGCGTGAAGCAGCTGTTGTTGCAATGAAAGCCAATAAGAATGTGTGTTTCAACAGCACATTATGTTTGATATTTGGAGTGTTTATTTACAAGAATATTGTTAGGGAAAAACAGTGTGTGTGTGAATATATTTTGGAAGGAGATTTTTTCTCTTTCTTTTCTTAAGGTTCCTCACTGTTACTACAGAGATTCAAATACTGCAACTAAAAACCAGTTTACTTTTACATACCAGGAAAACCTCGTGAAGGTATGTGTTTTCTGCAGTTTATAAAATGATTGGTCCCATGCTGTGAAGAGCAGTTGTCACATAAGCATTTGCACCATACAGTTCTAATGGCAGCTTCACATCAGAGGATTTTCTAGAATTAAATTACTGATTTGTACAGTCAACTATGCAGGTACTAAAGTAGTCGTCAACCTTTAGAACATCCACAGGACTTAAAACACACTTGTATGTACTCTATTCTGTTTTATTTTACATAGCTAAATCTTATTGAAATCATTCTAAGTTAAAAATGTGGTTCTGCCAAGGCCTTGTTCCATACCATAAGCAGTTTATCACATCGGCATTTGGTTAGATCCTTTTATTATTTATTTATATGTTTTGCATGGCTGTATTTAGTTTCCTTCATGGCAACATTTAAAAATGGTGAATATATTTTAAATATGGAGGTTTGATTAATTTGACTGAATTTATGCTTAAACTCTGGCATGTCAGAAGTAACATAATGTTTTTGAAAAATGTATGAGATATATAAACATAATTTGATTAATTGAATCTTACAATTCAGCTACATTCCTGAAATATAAAAGGAAATGGAAAAGACTGCAAACATGTTATATGTATGTATTTATAATTATGTGTTGTTCAAGAAAGACAACTTTAGTACAGTTTCATATGCCAGAATGAAATGTATTTGGTTTGATTATGATTAAGTAATCATGGCCATGGCATTACAAAGCAGGATTATTTTTTAGCTGTTCACTATAAATTTGGAATGCTTTGGTAATTACAAAGAAATTGAACCGTTGCTTCCTGATTCCTTTGAGTATTTACTCTAAGTGGTGTAGGATTCTGTCAAAATACAAGCACAATATAAGTTGCTTTATGTATCCCTATTTGAACCTTGTTCTAGCTTTGTGCTTTTTATAATATGTATTTTATATAAATTATAAATAAGCAATATATTGATGCTAATAACGATTTTTAGCATATACTTTGTGTCACTTTTACATGAGAATTTCATTTTTAGACCATAGAAATTATGTTAATGAAGAGAATGTTTTGCTGTTGGCTGTACATATTCAGTTTTGATGATATGAAGGGTTAGAAGAAATTAGTCTGCTTCTGTCTTAAGAAATTGTAGAGGGTTGACCTCTGTGATATAATACCATGCATTAAACAGATTGTATTGCTTGTTTTGAATTTACAGAATGGAGTTTTAAAAGCGATTCTGGTTTCTGTTTAATATATCAGTGCTTAGACTTTACTGGAAATTTCTTGACTATTTCATGTATCACATTCCTCATCTGGCGAGCTTTGCCATTCTTGAAAATATTTCAGGCAAGCCTGAGTCTACCAGGTTCACCATTTAACTTGCGCCGAGGTTCTCGTGGCAGTCACCAGTATACAATTAGAAATGGACGTGGGAGGATTGTGGGTCCACCAGGTGGTGATCGAAAGCCTCTTGTTCTGTCTACATACCTTGATGCACAAGTAAGATATTTATTTTCAGGTCTGGAAAGCAAATGTGTGTGAGGTTTTTGAATTTTTAGGTGTTTGGAAGTATCTTTGTTATTCACTAATACTGTATGTCACATTGCTTTGTAATGACATACATGATTGAATAGGGTTAGAACATGACAATTCCTTTTGTCAATTTTGTTGTAATTTCTAATTTTTAATTTTGTGCATTTTGTTTTAAGTAACAGTTTTTAAAGGAGATGGACACATAAACAGCCATAATGTTGCCTTGGAACATAGAAGCTACACGTAGTGTCCAGTTTTTCATAAATATTTTATCTTGTCAAAATGTATCAAATCTGGTTTTAATTTCTTGTACCTTCTGACATTTGGTTGGAAAGCCTGAAGGGGTATGTATACCACTCAGAAGACCTAGGTGTAGATGGAAAGATAATATTAAAATGGATCTTGGTAAAGTATGGTTCGTGTGGGGTGGGTTGGATTAATTTGGCAAGGGGTAGGGACCAGTGGTTGGCTCTAAAGAACAAAATAATAAACTTTTTGGTTTCATAAAAGGTATGTAACTTCTTGACCAGCTGAGTTAATGAGTGAGTGAGTGAGGAATGAGTGAGCGAGAAGGACTCTGCTCCATGAATTTTGTTAGTTGTTTATTCTTGTACCTAAATTTAGAGATGAATTATAGTTCTGGATCAAAAGTATTGAAATTTTCTTTTTCTGATATAAAGGCTAGCATTGTTTTGTGTTGAAAGTTATGTGCAGTTTTATCAGTATTAAGTATTGCATATTTTATAAGAAGTTGCTAAAATTGTTAAGAATATTAAATGAAGTTTGAATTATCTCAATCTGCTCAGTACTGTGCCTGCCATTTTGTAACTATATTACCAGTAATGAACACATCACAGAAGTAATGTTTTAAGTTTTTGTTTTGCTTGCATTGCAGGAGCACCTGCCTTATGCAGATGACTCAAATGCAGTAACGCCAATGTCTGAGGAGAATGGGGCCATAATTGTACCTGTTTATTGTGCCAACCTTGGGTCAAGGCATTCCTCCTATACATCTCATACATCACGGGTATCCTACACATCGCATGGTGATCTTTTTGGTGCGCCAAAGACAAAAGAGAGCCAATTGAGAGGTCGGACAGTACGGAATAACCCTTCACAGGTGCCTAATTCTGCACCCACCATGCCAGATGACCGAAAATACATGGTATGCGAATATTTAAATTTTACATGTAAAATAGAGATTTATTGCATATGTGAAAATTGTACTGAATAGAATCTGTAACTGTGTTCAGAATGAGCATGGTTTTTATGTCTACTCTCTTCTGTTCTAACGCCAATATGGACTTGTACACACACTGAAATACCAAAGAGTTTCCCCACAGTTTTTGATTCAATCATTTTCAGGTAGTCCTATGTCTTTGTCTTTGTTTAAATATGATTGCCAAATCTTGCAATATACCTTATTAAGTAGATAATAATGGATTAATCAGCATATGTACAGAGAGCCTTGGATTTTAGTTTGTTATATGTTAAAAGTCAGTGATTTGTTAAATTCCATGGTGATTTTATTATAGGAACCATCTATTGACGATGATGGAACAGCGAAAGCAAAACACTCGGATAACCCATTCGTTGAGCAGCTGCAACCACCAGCTGTGGTTGATATGAATGGTAAGTTAAGTAGGCCAACTTTGTACCAAAAGCATGGTTTTACAAGTGTAACATTGCACAAAATGGAATTGAAGGTTTAAGGTACAATTTGGCTGCACGCAACAGAGACAAGTGACCGAGGCAGGTGACAGAGATGGGAGACGGACACATCGCAGCTTGTCGCCACACACTTTTGAGGTGACGACCGAGACATGCGGCAAAGTGTTTGTTTTCTTTGTTTTGTTGAGACATACGTGCACATATTCTGTGAAAAATGAGTACAAAAATGCTTCTAAAAAGGTTAATCGAAGAAGATGATGTGTTGCTGTGTTATTTGTTGCGAAAGAAACAAAGAAAACCTATGAACTACTGGTCCGAGAGCGGTCTCCTGTGCTTTGTCTCTGTCGCCCGTCTTTGTCTCGCGCTCGTAATTGTACTTCATACGATTGTACAGAGAGCAGACAGGAAGCGACCAGTCTCGGTCTCGCAATTCTGTCACCTGCCTCGGTCGCTTGTCTCTGTCGCGTGCAGCCAAATTGTACCTTAACTGAAATCTCCACTGTAATCATAGGTCATGTTCCATCATGTCAAGGCAGGTCAGCCATCTTAGTTTCTATATTCATTTGCCACCATTTGACAACATTGATAAGATAGTATGGAAGATACAAATGATATTTTTTATGGTAATTGGTTTTGAAATTGAGGGGAGAATTTTTGGGAACAGAATTTTGTTAATTATTGCCATAAAGGTTTAAGATTATTGCCATAGTTGGAAGATTCAGCTTGCTTAAAATGACTTGGAGACTCTATGCAAATGTGTTTTATCATAACCAAGTTCTTATACATATGAAAGTATTTCTGATTATATCAGTGAATTATATGTTTTTCTTCAGATGTGATGGTGCTGAATGACATCATTGAACAGGCTGCAGGCCGTCATAGTCGAGCCAGTGGGCATGGAGGTAAATATTCCTAGCAAACAAGTCAATGTCTAGCTGTGGGTGTTTCTGTACAGATCACCTCTCTAACTCCACCACTGTGTATGTGTTTCCTTGTAGGACCTCTTAGATTGTGTATAACAACACTCTTTTTCTGTGTATTGGATATTTTGAATGTCCCATAGTAGATGATTGAACCTTAGATAAGTGGACAGAGAACAGAGAATACTGATGTGGAGGTTTGTGACATATTTGTTGCCTTGGTTATACATGATGCTACCTCTGCTTTTGTATTCATGTTGGTAGTTACGCTAACCACTAGTTGCTGTTAAAGGGGTTGGAAATCTCTTCCTGACTATTACCATTTAACCTTTGGGGGGGGAGAAAATTTTGTTAAAATTTGCCAATATGACAATCAGATTCCTTAAAACTGGAGTAAGTAAACTCCTGAAATATGTGCATCAAATGTGCAGTGGACAATGTGATCTCATGTAAACAGTTGAATTGCATGTGTTATAGCAGAGAAATTGTTATTATACTCATCTTCTGATATTTATAGAGAGCTATGTAATTAATAATTACATATTTGTTTATTTTTATCAGGTTTCACTGAGTTGTCTTTATGTATAAAGGGCAGTCTGTTTTTTATGATGCCATTGCTATATCAACAATCTCAGATACATTTTCCATTTAATCTGATACTGAAAGTATTTTCTCTTTCAGAAATCCTCCATGTTTTAGAAATAAACACAAAGATTCAGAATTCTCTATCTATATTATATATAAAAATAAGACTGAGTGCATATTCTTTCACATTTCAGTATTCTTTGTTTAATGAAAGGTTTATGGACACAGGAAAATATTAATATTTAGAGAGTTTAATTGTAATCTGATGACAATTATTAAAAATATAATGTATGTAGTATACTTCTGACCAAGCTTGAATTTAAGTCCTATCAGTACATTGCAATTCTTCACCTCAGAAGTTACTGTATATCATTATGTTTCAGCATAGTACATTTCTAAATTTATCATCATGTGACATGAAGGGTGCACAGGTTTGGAGGCAGACAGAATAAATACACAAGTATGCATGTGACTTTTCAGTCTTAAAATATTCTGTGTCCATGAATATACATCCATTGGCCTTCATCACTGACATGAAAAGGAACAGTTTAGAATCCAGATAATATTTCCTGTAGCAAATTAATGTTGAGAACATAAATTCTTTCTAAATAACCTTTTAATGGTAGTTTTGAGTTGCAAAAAAATTTGTCTCTTCTTGATAAGCCAGAGTGAAGTTTAAATAAAATGTCTTATTGTGTACTACATGTACATGAAATTGGCAAATTTTGTAGTTAGATAATTTTTGACTACTTTAATGATAAATATTTACATTTATTTGCACTGAAGCTTGTTGTACAGATTTTATTAGAAATAAATTATTGTAACTACCTTTTGAATGGGCATGAAATTGATAGCAAAATAATTTTGTGAATGTTATTATTAGTATAGAAGGTTTATTTTTAAAATATGAGATTTATTTAAATTTAAATTTGTGTGAAATTTTTTAGTTCTTTTGGGGAACTTGTTGATATATGCTGTCATTAAAGAACTTTTCTAAGAGCAAATAAAAGTCTACATTAAGTGGCTTGACATTTATTTCATTTTATTACAAACATATATTAGAATCTGTAGCCATGATACCACGTGAAATATTTATGTTCCTATGAGTTTGTTGATAGGAAAGGTTGATAATGGGAAGGGAGTGCTTTCACACAGGCATCCTCTTGTGTCTTTTGATGATTGGCAGATAGTCTTATTCTAAGGAACATTGCTGGTGAAAAATGCAAAATATTTTCTATGCTATTGCAACTTTCTGTTGCACACTTTCTTTGTCTGTGTATATAATGTAATTTTCTGTGCTGTACTTGAACTTTGCAGTGCATCCTGATTCCTTCTTGGGGAAAGAGATTGGTTACTGATATGTGATCTGTATGCATGATTCCTTTTGTATCTTATGCATGTTCTTGGTATGCTATTTGCCTGGTTTCTACAAGTGTGGTAACCATATTTTCAAGGATACCAGTGCGACTCATAATCTCTGAGATATATTATTGAGGAGTAAGTATTGAATCATTATGTATGCTTAAGTTTACAAGTGAAATTTCAGTTTAATACAACTGAATTTTGAAAATTAGATGTTAATGGCGTTTTGATGTGTGCTTTATATTTAAACAGTTGCTCTGTGTTTGCACTTAGAAGAATGGTGCAGGGAAATATTCAGTTGCAGCCAGTAACTTATTCACACATGGGAAAATGGGGCCCTGCATGGTGCCTGTTTGAGACTTTGAACAATAAATGACACTATCTCTGTATTCATGTCCTAAATTCTAAATTTGAGTCCAGTGTTTTTATATTATGTAATTTATAATCTATATTAATTTTAAGAGTCTTGCTTTTCTTCTAACTCATTGTAATCCATTTTGAACGTGTCTAATAGCCTTCAGTGTAACTTCTGTTCCATTATTTTTCCAAAAAAATAAAATATTATATTGATGTCACCATTTGTCACCCTGGCATGTTTTTTTGTCATCAGTGAAAGCCTTCTATTTGGTAGTAAACTGGTGGGAAGGTAGTTGTGAATTAACGTTAACGTTATTAGTATTAAGTATGTCAGCAGTCTTCAGAGACCAAGTAAGTTGCTGTAGTGGTAAAGGTTTGGACCTGTACTGGAGTTAATCAGTTTGAATCTTAGTAAGGTTACTGATTATCAAGACTAAGATTTTTGACAGTAGGCTCCTGCTATCAATTTATTTTATGTGGAGTACTGAAATCATAGATGTTACAATGGCAGTGTATAAACATTTCTATATGTTTCTTATTGAGAGGTAAACATTTAATAATAACTGATTAATTATATACATAACTCTCTGATCATTCACCTTCTTGAGAAACTGATAGTTATTTAGCTGTTCAGAAATATCTAGCAATTTATGGAACTTGAAGGTTTATTACTGTGTTCACAGGAGCATATACCTAAAGAATTTGAATCCAGTCCATGTCCTGATACTATATTTTTTAAGATACATTTTACTGTTATTCTCCCATTTATGTCTGTATCCCAGCTGATTTACCCCTTCAAGTACAGAATTAAAAATTATTCACTATCTCAAAGCACTGGAAAATGATTTTTGTTATAGCCTAAAAGTTAATTAACTCCATGGAACAGACTCCTCATTCAGAGCTAATATTCACTCATTTCACTCATATGTTCAAAATATTCTTTAACCTTTTGTGGAACAGTGATGCTTATATTAAATGGGACTATTTCTTCAAATGCTTTTGGGTGGCAAATAAGTTTTTAATTTGGTAAGTAGGACTTGGCATAATTGCTGTAGTGGTATAATCAACATAATATTGAGGTTTATGTGACATTTGTGTCCAGGGCCCCATTGTCCATACATAGAATGACCTTGCTTGCAACGTGCATATGTGTGTTGTATTGAGGAAATTTAATCATAGGGGAGTAAAGTTTGCTTTAAATTATTTATTTATGATGATGTGAGTTAAAATCGTACTCTGGGCACATGACGTATGTGTTTTTTATGTCTTTATGTTACTGTCTTAGTTACATTAAATTATACATTCTTATTTATCATATATGTGGTTAGGGAGCACAAAATACTAGCAAAAGTTATTCACAGATTATAAATAAATAAAAAAAAAATACCGAGGAGGGAGACTGAAAGAAAGAGAAGGCAATAAATAAAGGAAATGAAACAGAAAATGCAAGATTCAAAATGTAATCCATTGAAGGAATTTCATCCATTTTAATGTTGATGTTGCCTTCTGGGTTATAACACCATGTGATCTTGTAGGTAGATTTTCATGTTTTAGAAGAACATACTGTCTCCATCTACCTACAAGTTTACATGGTGTTATAACCCTAAGGACAGACATCATAAACTTCCCTGCAGTGAGAACCTCAAATGTCACATCATCAATTTAAAGTACACATGTTTAACAATTCATTATATTTAAGTTTGTGAGGCACTTGTATATTGAGAGCAGATATAATAGTATATTTGAGTTGCACTGGTTGTATTCAGGTATGTAAATAATGTTCTCCATATTTCAGTTGCTTGCTTGCTTGTTTGCTTGCCTTGTTAACCATCTCTAAATGCATGTGTGTGCATATAATTCCCCTCATACCTTCCCAAGCAGAATGATGTAACAATAACTCAATAATAGTGTTTTTTGTGTAATCCTGTTGTCACCATTTTCATGTACAAGAATAGTATAATCACCTGAATTCACATGAACGTGTTGTAATGTTTTAACTAGAAGGTAGAGATTAATTAATGTTAGGCTTGTTTAGATTGCATTTACAATGTTGATCTACTGAGACATCTCTATCAGACTGAGAGGTAATATGGTTGTATTGTTAGAATTATAACTATCAATGTAAAATTTACTATAATACATGTAATATGCAGAAGTTTGTCTTAAGGTGTGATTTCTCTTACAGTTCTACTTTTTTTAGATTACAGACTTTCTCAGAAAAACTAAATTTTCACTAAATGTCTCTGTTTGATAAATATTGTAAGTACCATAACTCTGTCAGTATTTTGTGTGTTGAATATTTTCTTAAATTATATTATTCACGTTGCTTATAGATTTATAAATTGAAATTTTAACAATATGACCATCCAATTTTCTTTGGTGATGTTGCATTGTAACTATATTTTCATTGTAAATCAATTTAAACAGTGCTAGATATATAGTATATTAGCTTGTGACCAGAATCAAATGTCCTCAGAACATTTTCACCTATAAAATTAAAGTAAAGCTGTCCTGCTATATGCCATGTATGTGCTTGTGGGGAGAGAAGGTAAAACTCCTACTCATTTTAACGTTGACACTAGATGGGGTGAGGGGTCATTGTCACATCCCGGCTGTGCTTTATGGCTGGGAAAGGACCCTGGTATCCATTGGATAGGAGGCTGGAGGAAAAATTCTAT